AATAATGTTTATTATCATTAACATCACGTAGTTGTTTATGTTTCCCAAGCAATGTCTGTTTCATATTCTCAAAACTATTGTGATGACATATATGCAGTTCAGATTGTCACGATCACTTGTCATTTATTCTTTTGAAAAGTTTGATTTGATCTCTCTGTCATATAGCTCTATCTGCCTATCATAATCTCCGTTTATAGGGTTTTGCATTTCTTCGTTTAAAAAAAGGAAGAAAAAATGAATGAAAAAAGTTTATTTTTTCCTACAACAATCACGTCCCGTTTTCTATGCAGAAAGTTTCTCGATATCTCTCTCGCGTTTTCTTCCTCTTGAACCATATTCATTGCAACAAACGCAGAAAAGGTATGAATGAGAATTAACACCTTTACAGTGCAAGAGATGTATTTGACCGGTTTTCGCTTATGCCTCCGTCAGAAGATCGAAACCGGTTATATACCCATCATTCATACCTCTTTCTTCTACAGATATTCACTCTCATTCTTAAAGATATTCATATTTATTCATATCTTCTCTACAGACATTCATTCTCATTCCTCCCTCTTCTACATTTTTTTCCTCTCCCCCCCCCCCACCCCTTTGTAAAGAGGTTGTCCAGGAGAGTTCTGGGCTGATGGTTCGCAAAGTTCCGGAGATGTCACTCACCCAGACGATCAGTTCCTCAGCTGAAGCGCTACCTGCTCTCACCTATGATAACGAGTGAGTATTGAGGGGATTAAATGACATTAGAATGATTATTAGACAGTTAAGTGATCGGTGAACCGTGATTTGATTATCGTGAAATTAGTCATTAGGCAATTAAAGATCGGTTAGATGTAATTGTTGTAATGCAGTGTTCTAAAATTTATTGTGAGTCAATTTACGATCGACAAGCAGTGATCATTGGGCAAGTAAGCAGTAGTAAAAGGTAAAGATTGGGCAATTAATCATATTTTAATAGTATTCATTGTATGGTAATACAGTAATTAATGAGTAATTATACAATATTAACGAATGATTGAATTAAAAAGTGTTTATAAACAGGTTATCATTATAAGCGTTTTATCATTAATAATAAAATAATTAAGTAGACTACATATAAAAATGAATGTGTAAACAGCTTTGTGTCCTTGTAGGATTTTACATGGATAATAACCATGAAATAGATAATTTAATAATTACACGATTATAGGATGTTATAGATATAAATGAATAACATGATTCAAAAATAAGTAAATGTGATAAAGATAAATTGACAGTAACGCGATTATGTAATACGCAAATCTGGCATAAAGGAATGACAATAGTTACTATGTATAGGTTATGTCTAGTTGCTTGTGCTGAACGTGCATATATCAAGTAAAATTATTATGTGGAAATATGTGTGCGGAAATATTTACATACATAAATATTACATTCTCTCTCTCCCTCACACACACACACACACAAACACACACACACACAAACACACACACGCATACACACACACATACACCGTATTCTAGAATATATAACTAGATAGATGTATATGTAGATATATGTATATTACCACAGTACATTTCTGAGACCAATTTGCATGATAATCAGATTCCTAAATAATTGGCTTCAGTTCTCGTATTATTATTGGCTTCCAGTATTATTACGATTTTTCCTATCTTGTTGAGAGAATAGAAAATATATTGAAGGGGCAACTGAAGCCAATGTGTAATCTAACAAAAAGTTATTTTTTAAAAATAAAATATTGCAAGAAAATCAACATTTCAATTGTGTAAGTATAGCGAAAACCGTTACTAGAAACTGTTTCTGACTTCCTGCTATGATACTAGTAGATATATAGCATAGGCTTTGGAGCCGGGGGGCCAAGTGCAGTTAGCTAGTTACTACACACAGGTTCATCCACTTGCACGTCACTACAGCAGCAACAGGATTCAGTCCCAGACCTTTTGATCCCTTGTACATGTTATACCGGGTATTGAGATTATTGAGCCTTATGACATATTTTGATAAGATACACCAGCCGAGGCACTTAGCCAGTACTGTGGCTTGGAACCAAGCACCCATATACACATGCATGGCATTTGTTGTATGCTGTACCACCATGAGAGGACAAGGAGGGTTAAGTACCATAGCTCAGTGCCGATTTGTTACACTGTCATTTAGAGACTAGCATCACCGATTTTAATAAAACAATGCCTTGGGGTTGACAATGAAACTGTATTGTGTCAGTCCAATTAAATTATTAAATTAAATTTTCCATACCGTGTGAGGGGGACACCACCTCCCACCCCCTCTTGGGCGCATACGCGCCCTCGAATTGAATTCACTCGCAGAAGTGCGCTCCCTCACTTTCAAAATCGCTCCAATCAAATATCTTACTCTTTCCTTCTTCAGAGACGACATACTGAGTAGTCAAGGGTTATGGCTGATCGGGGCAAAAAGGGCAGATCTGAACGAGTATTTGGAACCCGCTGTTCAAGAGATCGATCAACTGAGTCTGCTTGATTAAAGCAACCGTATAGTAATAGTTTAATCACCTGACTAAACTGCTGTATACTGATCATTAAAAATTCTGAAGTAAAATTATGTTTTTTTTACTTTCTATTAGTTTTCCTCCTTTTTACCTTGGGTCACGTGTTTTGTTTTTTTTTGTCCATTATTCGTTCCTCCTCTGTTTTGGAATCTCCTGATTTTCATTTTCTTTCATTTTTCTATCTACAGTCTACTTAAACAGCATCGTAAAATATTTGCACTATCTCAGTTTACCTTCCAATATTGCATTCGCACATTTTACTTGCTTCTAGCTAATAAGCGTTCCACTGCGGTTGTTATTTTCGTTCTTGGATCTTAGCGTCTATACTATTTTTTTTCATGCCGATAGCTTCATAACATACGGTCACTTCATCTCCGGCAATTTTACTTTCAACAAAATTGTGCCATCTCTGTGCCGTTTTGAAAATACTGGCCTGAAAATCCCCTTGGTCTTATGCTTCAGAAGTAAAGGCTCTTGAATTTCCTTGAAATTAATTCACTGCCATATATATATATGTGTGTGTGTGTCTGACTACCCAGTTACCCTTGGCGAAGGATATCAATTAGGTCCCCCCACCCCTGGGAGTCAACAGGGGAACTCCGACAGAAGTACGCCCAAGTGACGTCCCAGACTACTGGTCCTCCCTACCCAGGGGTCAGATCCCGCTGGGGGTAGAAGGGTGCTGGTGGTCTGAAGTGGGGTGCTCACTACGACAACTGTAGCCTCGTGTCACTTGCAAAATCAAAACACTGAAGGTACATGCAGAACACTAATAAGGGCAGAGTTCCATGAACACATCGTTTACTCTGTACAAAGGAAAAGAAAGATGAAAACACGTTCCAATGATGCCAAGCGAACGAGAGACCCAGGACTCCAGAGAAATTTTCGTAGCACCTGACATGAGTTTGTTATTGCCATGTTATAAAATTATAGTGGTCACTTTTATGGAAGCGTTTTGGAAATGTTTTAAGAATCTCATATATCCTGCTTATTTCCATGGAGTAATTAAGAATTTCAGGCATAATTCCATGTTATATTTGTCAAAGTCTATGAATTTGAAGTTAGAAACAATTGGAAATTAAAATGAGTAGGATGCTATTATTTTTCAATAGTTTTAATTTCCCACGACTAGATGATGATATAATAGAAATTTTAACTGTAACAGATAAGACGTAAGAAAGTTTTCAGATATAGTATTACCTTCGCAAGTTGATGATAAGAAAAGAACATCTGCGAACACCATCATAAAGATAAAAGGAACTATATTCACTGATACAGGAAATAATTCGTACAAGCAAAGAATAATGTCAGAAATAAAGAAAATAGGTTGCAACAGATACCACGCGGAGAGACCACGGCAACCGGTGGGGGTCCGGGGGAGGAGCCCCTGATAGATAAAATACAAAAATAGGCTGGAGGTCTGGGCGTCAAAGCAGGGATTTGGAGGGTTTTTGGTTCATACGGCGATTTTTATGGATTCCACTGTGTTACTCTACTTGGGGATAAACACGTAATGAGTTTAAAAAATAAAAATTAAAGCTAATATTAACTTCAATTCAGTACGACCTCACAAAAGACATTAAGTAAATCTTGGTAGCTGCCACCACCTGAGAATACCTCCCAGGAATGACAGAATTCCTAACTTACTTAACTGGAAGTTTCTATTGACTCTTCATCTCTTTCCTTGAAATGATAGCATTGGCAAGAGCAGTCAGATGTCGGGTCCTACAGTATTTTTGTAGATTTACTTACTTTCTAAAGTTTGACAAGATTAATTCCAGTCGGTATTGGAAGTAAGAGAAGTCCATAAATCTTATTAAAAAAATATCCATATACTGTAGCAGTAGAAAATATATATCCATTTACTCAGAGAAAGAAAATCTATTACGAAATTAACACATAACTATATTCCAGTTCACTAAAATCAGTTCATCGAAGGTTCTAGAACTTCTCAGAGTTTGGTTTGGTTTGGTTAAATGAGGTTAGATTAGGTTAGGTTTACCTAGCAAAGCAATTCATTGTACACAGAAGAAGATAATTAGAATCTCCCCTGGAACATTCAGCAGGTTCATTGGAGGATAAACATCGTTAAATAAGGATAATAGTCATAACAAAAAATGGGGGAGTCCACATAGCTCAAATAAACACGAATGTCCGAAGTTATGGCGTCCCTCCGGCGCTTTTACGGCTCCCCTCAAACCTCTCGTAGATTATTCCGAGTGTTGGTGCTGTCTGCTTTCTGTCCTGTTCCCCGTCGAAGCCAGAGCAAGAGAGTAACTAATATGTTTCATGACACGAGATTAACAGCAATTCACCTTTCTCCGTCGAAAGCAGAGGAAGAGAGGGCGAAACTCTGAGTGGCTGCCTACACCAGGCAATGCTTCCTCTTTATTTACACGATAAAATTCCTGTACATAATTTTCTATCCTACTGTAAGGGTAATGAAGGCCGAAATTAGTTATGAAATTATGATTTC